TATATATATATAAACGCGCCCTATATACTGTATACATAGGTTGATGCAATATTTTGGGATGCTCATTTTACAGTTTCATACACTAAAAAACAAACACCTTGCAGATGATGGAACAAAAACTCAACGTGTTACTGTGTGTCATCTTTGTAATATATGTCTATCTATAGCTGCGTTTCCATTGACTATGAAAATGTGCAAATCAGAATTTCGAAAATAAATTTGCTCAATGTAAACACGTCAATTTTGAAAAAAAAAAGTTTTTTGACTAAATGGTTTTGCGCTAGGAAGGTGGCTTTTTGGCTGTTTCGAAATTGGTGTATTTCACAAAACTGCAATGGAAACACTTTTTTCGCATCACGGGAGTCACGTGCGAGTCTACTGGCGAAAAAGACAACGAAGAAGAAGATAACAGGAAGTAAAAGTAGTAGTGAAATCACCGAAGTAGTAAAAGCATTAAACTCAATGACTACATTTTCCCAAAAATGCAGCATACGTAGCCGGTCCCAAAGTATAAGGGGCTTGTCACTCGAAAGCCTCGATAAGACGCCGACGTCTCCTCTGATGATGAGCGCTAGTGCCGTGGTAGCAACATGCTATGTGTATATATCCATTGCCGCCATGTTTTTAATGACTTATCGTGAGAACAAAGGTATTTACGCGTGACTTTAATAGCATTTCGTACTTATAATGGAAACACTGCAATTGCGAAACAGTTTTTTCGACATTAACAGAATATCGACAAAGTTCTGCGCACATTTGCAATGAAAACGCAGACTCACTTGGAGTCTGCAGCATTTCTTATTGTTTATTATTCTGATGGAGCAACTCAAGTCTTGTCAAGATCTGCAGTATTTTCAAATCCTGAAAAATGAAAAAAAATTCTTGCTGAACAAAGCAACAATGCTACTTTTACAGAAAATCTCCATAAAACACGAGGGTGAAGGTGAAAAAGGATAGAATTTGAACGAGTATCCAGGTACAAGTTTTCTGCGAGGAAAAAGAAAGGAGACATTAAGTGTTTATTCGTCCTTTCAGAGCCCAGACGACTCCCCAAGGAAGTCCCCACATCTCCAGACATCCCATCTTTTATTCATCACCCTGGCAACTAATGAGCCCATCTTTAGGTGAAGGGGTGTCTGTCTGCATATTTGAACCCGCACTTACCCCCRTTGAACTCACCTAGGTGGGAGCGTTTCAATCTGATTTATTTCCTGTGTGTTTCTGGATGAATAGTTTTCAGGATCAGCACAAAAAGCTTCACAAATGCTCTCAAGGGTGAGACTGAGACTGACTGAAGAAGCTACCCACAGCTAGGTGACATTAGCCAACAAAAAAGCCCTGTATCTCAGCCAATTTTACAGACCTATGGCTAGAATTTGGTTCAAAACACATMATCTGAGCATTAACTGGTCATGCAAGACCTCACAATGTGACATGCAATGGTTCAAGAAATATATGCCCTTTAATTTAAAGTAGATTTCAGTTAGAAGTACAACACAAAAACTCAGCGAATGTGTGTTATTTTAAATAATGTGCACAATACTGACAGAGCAGGAAACGCAGCAACAATGAGGAGGATTTAGCTTCTTTAATGTGTAGAAGTTCAGGGTGAATGACGACCTTCAGTCATGACGTCACACATTTATTTACATACATTATCTGCCACTCTCAAATGATTGGACAATCAGCGAGGATTTGACTGAGTGTTAATGTGCAATGGGAAAAATATGTCCTTAGAGAGTATTTCAACACATCTGACTTCAGYAGTCACAGGTACAATTCAGTTGAATGATTGGCTGGAGGGTCAAGGTCTTCGTTAGACTTGGAAAGCGAGCAGTATAATCTCACCATATGTGTGACTTATTGCAGTAGAGCGCTGTCTATGAGGYTAGCATGCTAYGAGTAAAGCTAGCARTAGGCTACAGTAAGAACAATAAAGTTTACTGTACCCGTTTATCAACAGAATGYGCAAGGATACGATGCTTGTGGTCSTGTGTTSGTCTTTTACCACCGGTAATGATTGGAGTAGATGTTAAGTCCACGATTGTACTTTGTTCCAGTCAAATTCAGCTCRTCCCATCGCTGTTCGCTAGCATCTTAGCTTGGGAAAAGTGACCAAAAATACTCCTATGTAGGGATGGTGGCTGTATCCTGAGCTACTGTTACAAGAACCATAGCACAATGTTTTGTGGTTCTTCTGGTGGATTTTGATGTTGTTTTCCTGAATTTAAGTTCAAACACAGTTAAACCAGCGCAGCGTGAGTTTGTATGCACATCAGTGTTGAGTGGACATAGTCACAGTGTTCTATAGTCTGAGTGGAGGTCCACATTGTGGTGGTGCACTATAGGCACAAATCCTTTTCTCCAACATCACAGATTTAGGACTGTTCAAACACCTTTGCTGCTTGTCTATTTATATGCCAACCACATTTTAAAGCCAAAATACTCCCAACAAACCACGAGGGAACCTCATCTGCTTTTCTGTTTTCTTCTCAGCGATGTCGGTTAACTTTAATTTTCCTTTGCAAGGAGGAGTCGAATCAGGACTGAAAAAATAGCCAATGTTGAAAATGAAATAATTAAATCCCAGCATCACTGATGGTGACTCATCACAGTGACGTCATAAAGCCAGCAGCTCAGACTGAGCCAATTACAGCGTGTCTGGACTCTGACTCGTGAGTCAGAGAAACAGGATGTTTGAGGAGGAATTATCAAAGGGCAAATAAAGGACGAYGGTAGCTTCGTTCTGATAGATGGTAGTAAAAATCAACCTGTCCGTCTGTGTGGGGAATGAGCTGATAGATTATTACAAAGTTGGATAATATATTAAACTGATCACTGCCAGACTTGACTGCTAACCCAGCTAATCTTTCTTTCTTTCTTTGTTTCTTTAAAAGGAAACAAAAAGATGGGAGCTTCAAATTTACTGCCCAAGTTATAAATGTAACCAGCAATATAGACTTGAACGTTTTTGACAAAATGCCAAAATCTCAACATTTCCAGAGGTTCTCACATTTGCTGTGAATCAAGTGCATTTGATTAGCAGCACCTGGAACGATACTTACCCTTAGAATTTCTGAACAAAGTGTGCTGAGATTTTCAGCATGACCTGGTATTTAAAATCTCAGGATTCATGGCAATCTTTGAGGAGCACCAGCTGTTACAGATAACAGCTTTTCTCTTCAGGCAAAGAAAAAGGAAAGGAGGGGAGAGAAGGAGGGCATTCACGTATGGACCGGGGTGATGGGTAGTTCTGCCAAAATCACCTTTTGATGAATGCCATTCACTTAAAGCGACAGCTAAGATGTGGAATTCAGTTGAAAGGTAAATAATCTTATCCTATAGGGAAAGGAAAACGTGGCACACTGACCGACTTGGAGGACTCCAGAGATCCGGAGGACAGAGTGTCTCGGCTGCTCCGGCTCTTGGAGCTGAGGTGCGGCGAGGAGGATGGCGAGTCATCGATGTATGGCAGGATGTCGTGGTGCCGCCGCTGTTCCTCTGCCCGGTCTGCATCGTAACCATAGGATGGAGGGGTCCCAGTGAAATGCCCATCTGTAAATAAAAWAAAAAACAAATGAAGAAGGATTTCTCACTTTGCTGTTGCTCAAACTGGGTTAATCATAGTCAAGTAAATATTTTTCAAGTGCAAAAATTTGCACATCAAACAGTAATTACACGTTGAAAACAACTGTCAGTGCAATTTAAATGGTGTTTTTTAATGTGCAAATACCAATAGTTATTACACAATGTCACAATGTACAATGCATCAAAACAATTATTCATAAATCTCTCAATAACAGCAAAAGTCACCACTTCCTTTGAAAGGGAAATCCCCAAAACATATGCTTTTTATACGTTTTTTTATCSGAAGAGAGTTGTGCATTAGTTTTGCTGATTAGCTTCAAGCTCTCAGAAGGTTGTTAAGTCTCGCAGTTAATTTTCGACACTAATTAAGGCGGCTCAGAAAACTGGGGCACATAAAATGAAATTTTTCCGAATCTTTGTTCATGCAATCACGTTAAAGTAAAAAAAAAAATAAATAAATAAATTGAAGATTAAGTGCCGAAAAAAGTCAATTAACAACTGGTTCAAGGTTCAAAATACTGGAAGACAGTGAAGAATCTCAGAGGAAATTCTTTAACAACCTCCCTCTGAGATGCTCTTATGGCTTTGTGAGGAAATGAGCACTTTTACAAACAAAACTTTTCTTGCTGTGACCACGAGCGCTGCCTTTTACCAAGAGAGATGGAAAAGCCACCAAGAACAAAACACAAAAGTCGGCAAACTGGAATCAAACAAACCATAAACTGACAAGGAAAGACATTGAATCACAGAAATATATGAAATCCAGACGTACGTTTCGCTCTAAATGTGCTCAGATTAAGCTAAAACTGCTCTTCCAGAAACAAGTGAGTATAGTCAGCAGTTCGAGGAATGTTTGGTGACTTACAACTGAAGGGAAGGCATCATAAATCTTTGGTGATCTCAAAAAGCCTTTTCTCTCTGTTCCTCAGACTCCCATAGCTGAACAGAGCTGCAGTTCACTGCAAGCCACACACACTTTTCACGAGCTGACTCAGACTAACGAACAGAAAACAGCACTGCCCACAATCACTGACACGTACAATCGGACCAGTCTTTGTGTCACACTCATTTTAACACTTTTATTCCAACTTTAAAGCACAAGCTCTGGTGTTTTCATTGCTCTACAGCCTATTGCACGCAGCTAAAAGACAAGGGCTAAGGATGTTTTTGCATGTGTTTCTGTCGGTTACCAAAACATCTCGATGGCAAACTGACACATTTTAATAAAACTCTTCAAAAGCAATGCACATCTACAAAGATTAACTTTTGAAATCAATCCAATTTAAGGTTGGTGTCTCAACAATACAAAATGRCTAAAACTGAACTTTTACAGACAATAAAGTGGATATATGCTTTTAAATCTGTATTTTTTTACATTTAAATCATTCAGATGGGATCATGTAGGACTGCACAATATCTCATTTGAGCATCATCATAGGGATGTTGCCAAAAGTATTTGCTCAGCCATCCAAATGACAAGCAAGGTCCATAAAGACATGGATGTCAGTCTGATGAACTTGACTGGCATGCACAACCCGACAGAACACCTTTGGGATGAATTAGAGTGGATATGAGACCCAGGCCTTCTGTCCAACATCAATACGTGACCTCGCAAATACGCTTCTGGAAGCATGGTCAAAAATCCTCAAACACACTCCTAAATCTTGTGGACAGCTTTCACAGAAGAGTTGAAGCTGTTCTAGCTGCAAAGGGTGAACCAACGTCATATTGAACTCTATGGATTAGGAATGGGATGTCACTTAAGCTCATATGTGAGTCAAAGCAGGTGAACGAATACTTTTCGCAATATGGTGTAGGTGTGCCCAATAATCACATCGCAGGTCCTGCAATGTAGGAGGCAAAATAAATCAATGTGTGAACCATAAGACACTATATGTCTTTTATTTTGACGACACCTCCAGAGGCGGCTATGGATACTTTGTGYAAAAAACAAACTTTAATTTTGTCACGAATCTTCAAGGACAATGATGGCAGCATTTTTCGGAGAACTGTTGTCGGTGAATTCTAGACCAGCGGAGGAAGACAACAAGGGTCTTGATGTAAACGAGGAGAAGAAGAGGTAAAATACRGTTTAGTGGGAATGCTAATATTAAAGCATGAAGACAACAGAAACTAAGCTCAATATAGAGGCAATATGTCAGGTGGTAAAACGCAATTCATGAATAACTCAAATACGGACAAAAAACATACTTGTAATATGCACAAAAAAAGAGTGCAGGTACATCTTGAACAGAATTGCAACATGACAAAGTGTTATTTAGGTCGATTGTTGARAGTTCCTATATTTTTCATATCGCAACGTACATCGCAATGTTAGAAAAAAATCACGTCAGTTTTTTTCCAATATCGACGACCAAATTGTTTAGTTGGTAAGTCCAGACCATATTTGACAKTTCTGTCGCAAATARTTCAGGCAWAGAAAATAGACAAAACTGAATGGATTGAAAAACATGACCCAAACAGAATGTAAAGATATCTATGCAGCACCTAGAGAGACTAAATACAACTTTTCTGCACTTCTGAAGACTCCATGTACACAACTAAATGCATTTAATGGTTAAAAAGTGGGATTTTGCAAGATATGTCACCTTTAAATAAATGATGAATTATTCACAACAATACTGTTCACTGTAACAGTGCATGAGCTTCATGGAATAGAAGAGTTGACCAAAACATCCTCAGAATCATTGTAAACAAAATAACAATTTTGATTTAAAACTCTGGAATGAAAGGCGATGGGTGATTTGATTTATTTTGATGGGTTCKAGATCTTTAGTTTGAATTATATTCTGAGGTGAAAAATGTGAAAAACAAAACAAGAGGGAAGTCATCCAGAGTCAGTGTCTGTAAGACCTTAAGCCCACCCACTATCTGCTCTGCATACTCCCTACTGTTTGTGGGTGGGTGCTGCCCGCTGCGCCTGCTTCAACCAAAACCATCATGCCAGGCCCAACATAGAGACTCCGTGTGAGGCAAACAGCCTCCTCCCACAATACCAAACATTTTGGCAAACCAAACTTAGCAGAGAGAAAATAAAWTTCACTGATTCATTGCTCGGCTAAAAATACAGGGTGTGGATATGAAAACAAGAAGACCAAATGGGAAATGAGCGAGGACAGTCTTGCCTTGTTTTTCCCTTTTTTTTCCTGGCCTCGCCTCCACAAATCCATGGGAGAACAATTTTATTGAAAAAAAATCTTAAGCTTTAAATAAAATCATTTTAACAGTTACTGTTTCCAGAGCATCACCATCTCCAGAAATATACAGTGGGTAAAATAAGTATTGAACACGTCACCATTTTTCACAGTAAATATATTGCTAGAGGTGCTAATGACATGAAATTTTTACCAGATGTTGGTAACAACCCAAGTGATCCATACATACAAAGAAATCAAACCATAAAT